TTTTTTTTTTTTTGGTTGCTGAATAATAATATTAACAGCATTTTAAGTCTGCCTATAAGATGCTGTTTTCCCTTAGGTCAGATTCCATATTTTGTTTCTTTGTCTCAAGTAGGAGCACAGAGCCTGGCACTGTGTTAGTGTCAACAACTACCTGTAGACTGACCAGAGAAGTTAGGCCATCACATGTGTTTTGGTTGTATAAGTGTGCTAGGTCCCTGGACTTTCTCCTTTCTTCAAGGGTCACTGGAACTGTAAGCCTATGAATTGTTTTGTGACTGGTTCAGAGATGCTTAGGGAAAAGCCAAACTCAGCCAACAGCCAGTGGGTCAGGCTGTCAGGAAGGCTGATGACAAAGCCTTTATTCTTAGTCTCTCCTTTGTTTCTAGAATGCAGTGGAGGTTTTGGCAAAAGATGAATGGCAAGGAAGCACTTTCTGACATTTACATTTGGATGTAATATATTTAATAATGATGTTGTCCCAGTGGTCACTGTACAGAATATTTATCCCACTGCATTCCTGTTATTTGTCTTTGTAGAAAATCTTGATGATGAATAGATTGAAAGAATTTCTGTTACTTGGCTCATGAACTAAATTCTCTTCAAGACCCAGATGTGTCTTACTGAGTCTGTTTCTGGCAGTTTCTATGCACAAATTATCCCATTAACCTTCCCAGAGATATCTTGAAACGTCTAGCTGCAATCTTTCGATTTTCTGTTAGCTCATTCATCATAATTTAGCTTTGACTGCTTAAACAATTCCCTCTGCTTTCTCTGTCATTGAAATTGAACTTTCAACACAACCATTCTTTTCTTTTGGGCTATATCTTCCTACTTCTTCTCTAATGTTTGCTTTAGGCTCAATTTTGCTTTTTATTCTACCATAGGCCTTTCAAAGAGGTAGAGGGCCTTTTAAGAGAAAGACTGAATTCACAGGAATGTGATGATAAAGGAAAATTAAAGTTAGACTTTTTCATCTTAGTGTTCACCCTGCTTTTCACCTTTTCACCCTCTTCTTCCACAGCATACAATAGAGCCATATTTTTCAAGACAATTAAAAATAAGGTGCTAAGTCATCCTTTTATATGTCAGGCTATTAAGCGTTCATTCCTAGGCATAGACTAGTGTACTATGTGTACAGGCACAATGCTAATTAATCCATAAAAGATGAATATGACAGTTAATGCCTTTGAGGATTGCATAATTAATCAGAATGATGGGCTATAAGTTATAAATACCGCCTCTAAACTACTTTTTTTTTAATTTCCAAATTAGGAAACTTGCTAATCTCAGAGCTTCTCTGTGTAGTGACCTTAGTATAGTTTCTTTTTACCATCTCAGAGCTTCTCTGTGTGGTGACCTTAGCATAGCTTCTGGTGTGCAATAAAATGTTCAGTATTGGTACTTATACTGGTAGATTATACAGAATAAGTAGAAATATGAAGAAGGAAGTAGATATGACATCTCTTATATTTACTCAAAGATGCTTTCACAAAGAAAGTAATACTGGAGGAAATTGCACATATTAGGGGATAAATATAAGCTACATTTAGAGCCCTAAGTAATTAGTATCTGTAGCATGAGGGGGCAGGGGACAGGTAGAGGAAATAAACATGGTGTGAGGAGAAATTTCTGAGATAGGGCAGGAATTTGAATTTGATTCTATAAGGTCTATAAGGAATGGGGCTCATTAGTGTTTCTTAAGCAGGGATTCTTAAAATTAATTAGTGCTAATGAAAGTTTCTGATTCATTCATGTATGTCTCTTTTAGGTATCACTTGCCCTGGAGCCTCTGTCAGAAACGTATGACACCTACAATCCTCTTCCTACCACTGACTTGACAGAAAATGTGCTTTTATCAGAGCAGGGATGCAGAGAAAAAACTGAACCCAGCAATATCCAGTTTCTGGTTCCATCAAGGCCTCATGGGATACCTAGCACCAAAGCTGATGGGAAAGAGTTAGCAGCCAATAGTAGTAGATCAACCACTCCAAGGTGATTACCACACCTAGTACCAGTCAATCTGGTATTAGCTGACTCTTATTGTACTTACAGTTTCTGTCTTTCGTTTATGCGTTGGTAAAAGACTAAAGGCAGTTGCATGTAAATTTTAAGTACACATTATGTTCCCGGTCCAGTACTCGGTGCTGGGCATATAAATTAATGAGATACAAGTCCTGCTTTTAAAGATCAGTCATAAGCTAGTAGAGAAATCAACATACAAATAAATAATCATGCAAATATGATTAGCTATGGCTAAATCATATACAAATGCCGTAATAGATGTCTGTGAAGGAACAGGCAGTATTTTGTGAAACACAGTGGAGTAATTGAAATAAATTTTACTGCTAAATTGTTTATGAAGCATTTGCTTTGTGTCACGCTCACTGCCGAACTTTTTATTTCATGGTCTCACTTCAGCTACAACCACACAAGCATAGGGGAAGAACACATCTATTTTTTACTTCATCTGGGAAATGAAAAACAGGCTTAAAAAACACCTAAGCTACTCTGCTATAAACCACTAATCCATTTTCTATTTCTTACATGGTGGATGTTACTCTAATGGCTAAATATTGCTGAAGTTCTCCCTTTTTTTTAAAACAGGGGGAAGGACCACTTGTACTTTACAGAGAACTCTGATGCAATGAAGGACTCTTTCTTTGGACTTCAGCCCCATCTTAATTCAGGACAGAGTTTAGAGTCTATGACTATGAAAGACAAAGCTCCACAAAAGCAGATGTCTCTTCTCAGCAATTCTGAATTCCAACCTCAAATCAGGACAGTTGCCAAAAGTCAGAGTGATTCATGTGTTCTTTCTTCAAACAACCCCCCCACCAAGGACCTTCTTTCAGGTATGTACATATTTGTAAATGCAAATCTGTAGTGTTGACTGCAATTACCCTGCTTTTTTGCCAGCCACCAAAGAGAAGTAAAACTTCTGTTTGAACTAAATAGCCAAATAAAACTGGATAATCTTACTAGCTTTCAGAATATCCCACCAAAGACTACGCTATTAAATCTCTAGTCACTTGTAAAAAATTAGTGGGTGCTTATAATTATAGGTTTAAGGAAGAAAGCATTTTAAATGAACCTGACTATGGAGAGAAAACCTTCACCATAAATAGCTATTAGTCCATAATTTTTCCCCAAAATTTAAAGCTCGTACAAGCCTTTGTCTCATCACTCACTTGTCTTATAAATAGCATTTATTTATACCACTGTGCAGAGGTTGATACCAAATCTATTTCCCATTCTGAAAACTATTGATCTCAGTGGGAACACTCAGTGCAACAGCAACTGCTGATCTCATGCCTGGGAATTAAATATGATTTGCAGCCAAAGAGAAATATAAAGAAGTCAGTTTAACTGTGTAAGGACTTAGATTAAAAAGCAAATAGGGGCCCTCCCTGGTGCCGCAGTGGGTTAAAGCACTGCACTGAGAAGCTAAAGCCACTTCCCCATGAGTTTGATTCCCGCCTGCCCCAGAGGTGACCACATGGCGCCGCAGACCTCTCCTGACCCGCCCGCTGCTCCCCTCAGCAGTGTACTTCATCGATCTTCCTGTTCTGCTCCCCACTCTGTCTCTGGTGAAGCCTCTTACCGCCCCTGAGCCTCTGGCCTGTACCCCAGTTTTGTATGTACAAATAAATAAATCTTTAAAAAGAAAGTCAACTTTCCTTTAAAAAAAAAAAAAGCAAATAGGAATTGAACTCCATAACTCATGTTATGGAGTGATACTAAAAAAACAACTGAGGTACCTTATATTATATGGCAATTAAAGGTTAATTATATATCTATGTTTTGTCAAAAACATGAGAGGTAAAATTTCCAAAGTAGAATATCATCATTAGTGAAAAAGTCTTTTTACACACACACACACACAAACACATACATATACATTGTTCATTTTTGTACAAGTTTGTTTTCTCAGGTGTATTCCCCACAGAATTCCCACCACCAGCTCACCTGTGCACCATCACCTTAGTCCCTTGTGCTTGTCCCTCCCCTGTTTTGACTGATCTCTTTCCCTCTCCCTCCCCTGCTGCATGTCTCTGATTTATAGTTTGCCTGCCAGTTTTGTTTTTTTTCCTCCCTGATCCCTTGTTTGTTTCCCCTATATTCCTCCTATAAGTGAGAATATCCGATATTTTCCTGCTGACTTATTTTACTGAGCATAATCCCTTCTAGCTCCATCCATGTTGCTACAGATGTCATGAGTTCATCTAAAAAAGTCTTTTAAATAACTATTGAGCTGCATGATTTACATGAGCCACAGTTTTTTAGCATTGGTAATTTAATGCTTTGTGTTTTGTGAGTATGAGGTCTTCCCCTTCAAGTGTTGTCACCACACCACAAACACCACCAAAATTCCCATAGTTTGCCACCTTAACCCCTCCCCACTTTGTTCTCAAGATTTTTTTATGAAGAAATTTGTGCTGTTAATATTTTTTCAAGCGAATAGCTTATGATCCTACCTTTTATAAAATATACGCTCATAGACTATATTAACTTTAGTCTTTAATGCAACCTTAAGCTATGCTAACAAAAAAGAAAATTGCCCTACAGTGCCCGCCACTTGTTAGCTCACAGCTGGAATATTTTGTGTAAACCTGAGCACCAGGCATTGAGAAACATTTGTTCTCTCATTAAGCAATCATCCTACACCTACCAGATGTCTGGAACTTTTCTATGTATCAGGGATACAGCCATTTAAATTTTTTTTAAGATTTATTTATTTATAATGCAATACTGGGGTACAGACCAGAGTTGTGAGGCATGACAAGATTCACCAGAGACAGAATGGGGAGCAGAACAGGCAGAGTGACAAATACACTGCTGAGAGAAGCAGTGGGCAGGTCGGGAGAAGTCTGCTAGGCCATGTGGGTCACCTCCCTGGCAGGGGATTGAACTCAGGCTGCAGTGGCTATTGTCGCTTCATAGTGTTATGCTTTAACCCATTGCACCACGAGGGAGGGCCCATTTAAATTTTTTTTAAATGATACAAACCGGGAATGCAAACTATTACAACCACTATGGAAAACTGTTTGAAGGTTCCTCAAACTGCTAAACATGGAGCTACCATACGACCCAACAATCCTATTCCTAGGTATCTACCCAAAAGACACAAAAACACTTATTCAAAAAGATACTTGCACCCCCATGTTTATTGCTGCTTTATTCACAATTGGAAAGAGAGTATGTAGTGTTAGGTAGGTGAGAGGAGGAAATGTCAGTTTTACATAGGGGTAGCCAAATGCCCAAAAATGGATGACTGGACAAAAAAGATGTGGTACATATATACAATGGAATATTACTCAGCAACCAAAAAAGAGAAACACATGTCTTCTGCAGCAACATGGATGGAGCTGGAAAAGATCATGCTTAGTGAAATAAGCCAGAAAGAAAAGGAAAAACACCAGATGGTTTCTCTCATAGCAGGTATATAATGGAACAGGCAAGAAAATAATAATAATAATGAACAGTTATATACCAAAGACATTTTGTGCGGGTAGAGTGGGGAATGGGATCAAAAACAGTGGGGGGAGAGAAATGCACTGGACTGTGGTGATGGCACATGGGTGATTTGGTTTATGGGAAGCCCAAGGGGATTGCAAATGAGATGGAAAAATGCACAAAATGATGTAAAAATGAACTATTATATTAAAAAATGCAAACCATTGTCTTATGGATTTTATATTCTAGATAGAAAGACCAGCAATAAGCTAGAAAAATTAAGTATGTAGTGTTAGGTAGGTGAGAGGAGGAAATGTCAGTTTTACATAGGGGTAGCAAAGGAATGCCTCATTTAGAAGCTAACTTTAAAGATAGAAAGAAATGAGTTCCTTCTGAGGAGAGTAACTAGACTAGTGAAGGAACCACCAGGCGTTGTTTATCCTAAAGAAAACAGCTACCATCTATTGAGCATTCATTATGTTCTAGCTACTTTGCCAAGTATCTTATATACATAAATATTAATAGGGTTCATTTTAAAATGACACAGTCTCAGAGTTAAGGAGCTCCCGCCCTTCAAAGGGGGCAGTTGTTACTAAGCTCTGGTTCATTATTATTTTAGACTTTAAGGCTAAACCCACTGCCTCATCCTACTGTAGGTTTGTGGTTTACCTAGCCCTGTGCTGGCCAGTTGTTGAAACAAAATATGCTAGCTATAACCCATGAGCTACCACTGTGTAATGCCTTCCATAAGCATGACTGAGATCACAAAAAAACATATTCAGTGTTTTAAGCCAATGTTACCTCAATAAAAATAATTTCATTTTAAAAAAAGAAAAATATTTAATATACTTTAATATTAAAACTATTTTAGAGAGAAAGGAATTAGAGTACTAAAAAAGTTACTAGGATCAGTAGGTTTAAAGATAAAACAAACTGTGGTTCAGCTTGAGTTAATAATTTGACCTGTGTAAAAATGTCAGGAGACTGTCGGGGGTAGAGAATTCTGCATCATTCGAAATAATCAAGCATAGACCGGTCGGTAATCGACTAATGAAAACTTACAGATTGGACTAAATGATCAAGTAGACATGATCATGAAAGGTTTTATCCAACTTCAAGAATCTGAGGGCCACATTAGTAGGTGTAGAGCTGAGGTCATGGGAGGGATATAACATACATATAAACTTAATTATCTTCCTAGTTTTTACTGTCCTGACATTATACTAGTAAAGGGGTACAGAGGTGAATCAGCCAACCAGCTGGTATTAATGAAACACTGTTTATGCATCTTTCTTATAAAACTTGGGGTTTAGAATAGATAAGAAGTTAGAAGCAAAATCAGAGTGTAAGCCTCCCTGTGTTAAGCAGGGACTGTGCATGCAAGAAGGGTAACTTGTGCTGGACCTACCTGAGTAATTACTAAGTTGAGGTGCAGGACGGTGCCATGACATGTCTTCTAGCGTAGGCATTGGCTTTTTCTTGAAAAGGGGAGTTAGGTGTTCTTGTTGTCATGCTTTAGACTTAAGAGAAGTTTTTCCAAACCATGGCTATTTCAATGAGAGGCCACTCAATGAATAGCTATAGTTAGATTTGTCCTACTCATCCTTCTCTTGCATATTTCTTTCCTAAAACCTGCTAGTGGTGCCCATCCCCATTCAGAGGTAAATGAATCATAAAATATCACCATTCCCAGAAGAATTTGTTTTTAATAGTGATGAAAACTTTAAACTCATTCTATTCAACAAGTGTCTTTGGAGTACCTATTTTATGTCAGTCATTGTTTTCAGTATTGGGGTTAAGATGATAAATAACATATAGTCCCTATTCAGTCTAGTCTAGGAAACAGTTTAAAGCAGATACATTACAGTTACATATGACATATGCGAAGTGGAGGCTTTTAAAATATTTATCAAATGTCTGATGCTGTCTCAGGCAAAGATACAAAGACCAACAAGAACCAACCCCATGACTCAAAGTTGATTGGGTGATACAATGATAGAGTTAAATTCCTGGAATTTTGTTTAAGGTATTGGAAATAGCTGGATATGGTTAGATCATAAAGTACAAGTATATTATCTCCCTAGAAACATCTTTCTAGAGAGGTATCAACAGAATAACTATTTTTTTACATAACCCTGACATCAAGTAGAATGTATTATTGACACTCTTTATCATTAACTAAAAGGAGAAGGGTTTCTTGTCACAAATTAAGCTTCTTTAGCTAGATTTCTAAAGTTAGCCATGTTTTCCTCACTCTTTCTCAATAAACAAGACAGCCATTCTGCTTTCTAGCTGAATCCCCCCCAAATTTTTTTTATTAAAAGCAAAAGAAATTCAATGAATTCTAAATGGAATGTTCTGCAGACATTATTTACATAGAAAAAAATGCATATCAGTTAAGTGAAAAAGCACTTGCAAAAACTGTATGCACAGAATGCCATTATTCCAAAGAAAATAGACAGGTAGACAGATAGATAGATAAAATATAGAGACATATGCATAGATAAAAAAAACTAAGGAATGTATCAAAATGTTAACAATCAGTGTTCCTGGTAGTGACTTTAATGGGTAGGTTAACTTTCTATTGCTGCATGGCAAATTACCTAAACTTAGTTGATCAACTGTTGACAGATTCCAGTTCCTTGCTTTTATAGCTGAGGTCCTATTTCCTTACTGGCTGTCATCCTGAGTCCACACTGAGTTTCTTGCCAGGTGGTTCCTCCAGCTTCAAAAGAGCAAGAATACATTAAATTCTTCTGCTTCAAATCTCTGACTTTATATTCAGCAAATATTTAGAGAAAACTGATTTTAAACCTTTTACGGTTGATTGACTTACAAAAGTAACTAAATTTGCAAAATCTCTTCACAGTAATACCTAGATGAGTGTTTGTGTCACTAGAACAAGGTAGGTATATACCACAATTCGAAGTTCTTAGGGAACCGTCTTAAATTCTGCCTTTAAACATGAGTGATCTTTATTTTAGTTTAGTTGTATTCTCACATAAGACGTTGGACATGATTATTTGCAAGGTGTTTTTAAGCTGTATTTTGAAATCTTTGTATTAACAAGTGTTAGATGTTTGTGTATCTGTTTGACTTCCTTTCTTTCCCCTCTGGCTTGCCTCTCATATCTTTATTTTTAGAAGCAATAAAACTCTAGACTTGAAGATAGGTACAGGGTGTGTAGTCTCACTTATACGTAAGCATCTGTAGAACCCCGAGAACTCTACGAACTTAAGTGAGGTCATATATGGTATCATTGAAATCATATGCTGTGAAGTTGTACTGGTAATACAAATAATGCATGCATAACTTGGGCAAGTTACTTATCCTCCTGGCCTCAATTTTTATATCTGGAAAATGAAGGTAATAGTACTGACTATTCAGAGGATCATTGGATAATGTAAGTTAATAGTTACACTTGAGAGTAGCAATAGTTACATTTTAGAGTAGTTCATACACATGGTAAAGATTTTAATGCTACCTGCTTATGTAATTGTTAGTGTTAAGTAAGGATGAAGTAAAGTTTACCTATAAGAAAGTCTACAGACTTCATGTCCTTTATTAACCTGCTGAATGATCTTCGATAAATCATTTTTTTCATCCATGAAAGTATAAACTTGGAATAGATTTTCACCATAACTCCTGTTAGTGTTTCTAAGAATGATATTAAACCTATTTAGAATAGTAATATAATTCAATAAGGTATCTAGAAACAAACAAAAATACATATAGAGAGCGACTTTACTAACCTTATGTACAAATACCAATTGGAAGAGTCAGTGTGCGCTTACAACTTCCACAAGGAGGTTGAGAGGCTTCACTCATTGCTATGTGATGCTAATATCTTAACCAATATACATTTGTTATAAAGTGAATGTCTTAAGAGAAGTCTCAGGCGAGTGGCGAAGGCAGACAATGAGGCCATCCTAGTCCACTGTGTCGAGTCCTGTGATCACAAGGTATAACATACTACAAGTATTTCTGTTGGAGTTTAGATTTTTCATATTTGTTTTTGCCCTCTTTAGCGCTGTTAGAACAAGGCAATAAACTGCGTAATGCCATGGTGATTTCCGCAATGAAATCAAGCCCAGATGCTAGCATGGTTTTGGATGAAGTTCAACCCTCTATGAAGGAAGATTTCCTTAAAGTATCACCACAGTAAGTTACAGAATAAACATGAACCCCTGATAGTTTATTATTTAATAGTTGTTAATAATTTTTTTTTCCAAGTTAGGGACTAAATAATCTTGGAACTGTTGGGCAAATTATTTTTTTAGGTGTAATTAAAATATAACATTATCTCCAGTGTACATGTAACAATGTGATACTTGTATATATTGTAAATTTACCATCACAGTGATCTAGTTAATAACCATCATCATGCAAAATTGCAGTGCTTTTTCTTTGTGGAAAATAATTCTTTTTTTTTTTTTTAAAGATTTATTTATTTATGCATACAGTACTGGGGTACAGGCCAGAGGTGCAGGGTTGGTGAAAGGATTCACCAGAGACAGAGTGGGGAGCAGAATAGGCAGATTGACAAAGTACACTGCTGAGGGGAGCAGCAGGTAGGTCAGGAGAGAGATCTGCCGTGCCATGTGGATCACCTCCAGGGTGGGGATCAAACTCGTGCTGAAGTGGCTTTAGTTTCTTTAGTGCTGTGCTTTAACCCACTGCACCACCAGGGAGGGCCTAGAAAATAATTCTTAGTATGGTAGAAAAGAACCCTAAATTAGAAGTGAAGATACTCAAAATCTTATCCTAGCACTGGTACTTGCTATGTAGTTAAATGACTAGATTCATTACTTTCTCTGAACCAGCATGTTTATATATATATAATGAAGATATTTTTTCTTTTATCTCTCACAGAAATGTAATGAGTTTCTAATATAGGAAAGGACTTTATAAATTATGGCATTCTGTATATATGTGTGTGTATATGTGTGTATGTATACATGTGTATATAAACTAATTCTAAAGATTGTTAAATTTTCCGTGTTGAACCATCTCCATATACTATCTCTTAGCTCAATTACCATTTACATTTTTCCCATATGTTAGCCATTCAGAAAGTATTTTTCCACTTCAGAATCAAAGCCTTGCCGAGGAATCAATTGAAAGACCATGATGAAGACCATGTCCTCCTTCCAACTGAGAATACATTTTGGAAACATGACATAAAAGCTGATACCAAGGCCATACAGCTGTTACTAGGCAGGTAAGAGTTTTGACTAGCTTTCTTCCTTTTAAATTCTTTCTCCAATTTATTGTTAACAGCTTCATCCTAAAGCAACAGTTTCTTAAAATAAGTCATTATAGAACAAGTCTTGACATAATTAATCCTAAATATATTTTTGATTGATAGAAGGCAAATTTATGAATTATTCTTTCTTCACAAAAATCAACATTTAACACTTATGTCATTGAATTATAGTTTATCTTTTTTTTCCTCACTGCTAAACCATAAGCAATACAAGGGGAAATTTACCTAAGCCTTCTCCACATCATCTGAGCCTAACACCATGCCTGACACATAATAAGTACTCAGTAAAATGTTTGTTGAGTTAATAAATGAGATCAAATTATTGTCAGTAGTGTATTTTTTTAATACTAACTTGGTATTTCAGAGGAGGGAGAATATAATTTTAAAATATTTATCATTCTGTCTAATATGTCTTCTGTTTAACATGTCTCCCTCCATGTTTAGAAAATTTTCGTTAGAGAAAGAATAGCTGAGCTGAAACTTCCATCAAAGTCTTTGTACTTATTGTTGTTGATTTTATGTCTGCAGTGCTGAACTAGCCCAGGGTCATTACTGGGATGGACTAGGCTCGCCTCCAGATTCCCCATCTCCTGGGAGTGATGTGTATTGCAGCAGTGAGCCAAATGACCCTCAGTATGACCAGAGTCTCCTGGAGAACCTTTTTTACACAGCACCTGTAAGTCATTGAATCTGAAACTTTAGAAATTAGAAAACAGAAGTATGAATAATATTAGGTACAGGTATATTACCACTTGCCATACAGAAAGCTATCCATTTTATCTACACCTTGTCTCAGAGTCACAGCAATCTAAAGAGGAAATTATTACCCTCACTCACTTGATAGATGAAGAGATAGGCCTCATAAATTAATTTGTCTAATGACAAACAGCAAGTCTTACAGCCAGGATTCAAATTCAAGTTTCCTTGACTCAAAGACTTATAGTCTAGAATACAAACCACAGAGTTTTTCTGAGGAAAATCTAATACAAGTATAGCCCCAGAAATATCCTTCACTAGTATCTTTTCCAAATACTACAGGAACATTTCTATTCACAGGTGAAAAATTTCTGTTGACCCTTAGGACAAGACATTCTGTTTTCAGGGAGTTCTAGTTTTTTTCAAATATTAAATCATATTGCATTCATTGCTTTAGCATCTTCTAGTTTATACATAATAAACCCAATGCCTTTTGCATGACTAATCGTCTATACTTGTGAAGATTGCTATCATATTCCAGATTTTCCTTTTCTCTGGTTCAAAAAAGATAACTGAAATACTAGGTAGTTTATATTAACTCTCTGGTAAGCCAATGAGGTATACCAGGGTGCAGAAGAAAGAGAACTTTTACATAAGATTATCAGGAAAGAACATAAGAAATAAAGGGTTTTAAGTGAAACTTCAAAGAGTGTTTAGAGAGGTAGAGAAAGAATATGAATTGTGTGCAGAAAGAATTTGTCTGGAGAAGCAGTTTGTACACTGCAAGAATTGGGAAGAGATTTCATAAAGAAAAGAAGTCGACAAGGCAGGCTAACATATTGCAAGTAGTGTGTAAATGGCTTTCATGTCAGATAAGGAGGAAATGATATGATTAAAATAGTGTTTCAGGAATGTTAATCTGGCAGTGATGAAGGGAGCTGATTGATAGAAGAATAATTGGAAGCAGATAGGATGCCATTGGGTTATTGGCAGTGTGAGAGAATCTGAATGAGAATGACAGGAAAGGGACTGGAAAGGAGATGCATTTAAAAGAGATTATGAATTGTTAGGCTCATCTTACTTCCTATCTTAGTCATCACTGATACTTGATTAAAGGGAAAAGGAATTTACTTTTACTCTACATTTTCTGTATGACTAAGTCTTACATGTTAATCTCTTATTTCTTGGGTTACCTGCTGTATCTAGCAAATCTTTCCATTACAGTCCTTAACGTATCTTATGGCACAGTTCCTCTTACACAGGAGCATGTCTTCATGATCTTTTTACTATCAGTACAGCAACGACCTGTGAGATACTAGGTACACAGTGAATACTTAATGCATAAAGGAATGAATGTGTAAATGGCACCAAAATAATCCCCCATATTATTTGAACAAAATAAGTTCAAAAAATGTGGACTAAAAGGTTGACCAGTTGACCATGAGGCAGTGGAAAGACCAAGAAGTTAATATACTTCTCTGGGGTCAGTGTTTGATGTTCTTAATATTGAATAATGCCAATGGCTTAGAAATTCAGCATTATTACCTGGTTTTTCTGATTTCAGATTTTTTTTTTAGCTTTAGAACACCCTTGTTTACATTTATTCTCATTTCCTCCAAGCTGTGAACCCATCTAGATTCTGATTGCATTATCAATAACTATTTTTCAAAGCTGCTACTTAATAAAGAAAACCTGTGGCAAAATCTTTATAATTTCACTTTGAAAAAAACTGTGTTGCCTCCTAGAAAGACACTCTGATCAAGCTTATTTAACTTTTGGTTTTTTACCATTAGCACTGGCCATCACTAATTATGTACCCTGAGAAACTAAAAAGGGACTCCTGGAAATGATAAACTTAAAATAAATTTTGGTCTGTATCCTGTATTTGTATTATTAGGGGGTTTGTTTGTTTGCTTTTAATTTGTAGCCAACTAACTGTATCACTTTCTTTTCATTTTGGATTTTGTGAATTAAGAGGTTGATCAGTACATTATGCTAGCCACTTTGTCTCTTAATAAAAATAAAAATGCAATACAAACTTCAAGGCATAAATAATTCATGGGGGTATAATGTACAGTAAGATGACTACAATATAACTGATAATACTGTACTCTATATTTGAAAGTTGCTAAGAGGATAAATTTTAAAAGTTCTCATTATAACAAAGTAAATTAGAACTATGTGTAGTCATGGTTGTTAGTCATTTTGCTATATATACATATATAATTATTATGTTGTATACCATTTTACATTTTAATTATATCTTAGTTTTTTTAAAAATTAATTCCAGGGGCCTTAGTCCCTAGTTTCCCCCATTAAGGGGCTTTGTGAAATGTAATAAACAGTTAATTTTAGCAAGATTAAAGGCAGAAGCAAATCATTAATAGTATAGAATGGTTTAAAAAGCGTGGTCTTAGCTTCCATGTAGTTAAGTGAGATTGTACCAGTTATTTTGCCTCACATTGTAGTAGAAAAACAAGCTTAGGAGATTAAATTCTGACTTTACTACCTACAGCTATGAATCATATGCAGCTTCTCTCTCAGCGTTCATTTTCTCACTTGTAAAAATTGTCACGCAGACATCATACAGGAATGCACTAGACATACACATTCAGCACTTAACACAGTACCCTACATTCATAGCAGGCTGTTGTTGTTAGAATTTAAAAGGATCTTTTATATATATGTGTGTGTGTGTGTGTGTATATATATATATATATATATATATATATATATATATTTAAACTAAACTTGTAGCTTATTTTTCTGAATTTTAGAGTATTTTTGTATGGTAGAGAGAATCATGGGATTATCTCCCCGATATCAATTACCTCTTTAAGAGAATCATGTGTGTGCAAAGATGAATCTAATTACCTATTGGAGAAGTGTTTCATTATCATTACCTCCAAAGAATTATCTTTTGGTCCCTTTCTTTCTTTTTCTTCCCCCATAGAAATCTAATACCAGCTTCAGTGATTTCTTCAGTGAAAATGATGATAATGTCCCTTCTAAAAAAATTAATAAGTCAAAATCTCATGCCAAATCTCCTAAGGTTCTGGATTCAAGTGATCATAAGCTAAAGAAGACAGAAGTGGGCAAGAAAAATAGGTGAGCCTCTTCATGAATGTTTATTTAGAGGCAAAAGCAAAGGAAAATTATTTCTGAAGATCCCCTAATGTGAAATGATCTGTATTTGTTCAACTTCATTAGATTGGTTAAGTGAGTTATAGTAACTCGTCAAGTAACAATCCTTAAAAACATTAATAGTGGGCCCTCCCTGGTGGCGCAGCAGGTTAAAACACTGCACTAAGAAGCTTAAGCCAGTTCCACATGAGTTCAATCCCCGCCTGCCCTGGAGGTGATCAGACCTCTCCTGACCCGCTCACTGCTCCCCTCAGCAGTGTACTTCATCAATCTGCCTGTTCTGCTCTCCACTCTGTCCCTGGTGAAGCCTCTCACCCTCCACATCTCTGGCCTGTACCCCAGTTCTGTATGAATAAATAAATAAATAAATCTTTAAAAAAAAAACAAAAACATAATAGCATGAAAAGGTAAAATGGACCTGATATAAGAATTAAGAAAAAAGGCAGAATTCTGTATTATGTGTATGCTGTGACTGCACACAATCTTGAGATCCTCTTTAGCTTATATAGAAAATTTGCATAAAGTAAGCAAATTAAAAAGAATACACAGAAGTGACAATTATGAGTAACTAAAGTAAAGCCTGTATCCCTGGTAAAAGACCTAATTGTGTAACATCAGTTTGTATGTTTGTGTATAACTCAGCCGTTACAATATAAACATGTTTTTACATTTCTTGAGATCTCTTTAGCTGTAGGTTAGGGGACCAGATTCTAACAGTTATAGCTACTTCTCAGTCTTTGCCAATTTGTGAATTAAAATGCTTGCTGCCCTATGTCTTTCCTCTTTTTGTTTGTGCAAAGTAGATTGTCCATGTCGGGCCTCTGACCATCTACTTCATTGTCTATGAAATTCTTTCAGAAATTTGGTTGAACAACAGATGCCATCAGTAGCACTGGAAGATGCCCAAGTGATGACACTGAGTGTGGATAAACTGTCCCTCCTGGGTAGAACGCAGTCAGTCAGAATCATCATCGAAACAATGGGAGTCCCTCCAGATAGTCCTCAGGTCACCCTTGGCAAAAAAAGCTTTCCTGGGGGACCACCTAAGCTGACACCAACAAAAAAGCGGTATGTCTCTAACATGAGAAAGCTAAATCTGACTTTTCAAGAAAGTGTGTCTAATAATAATGAAGTGCATAACACTTTGTGATTTCAAGTGCTTTCATATGTATCATTCAGCCAATGAAAATGTATTAAATCCCCCTGAAGGTCCTATGTACTATACCATGTAAGTAAGAATAGAAAGAAAATAAAGACTTATGATTCTGTCAGCAGGAGAAAATATTTCAGTGACTATTGACAATATAAGCCTTTCAGAGCCAAAAGAGATGGTTTATATTAAAATTGCTGTGGGATAACAAGGCAGGGAATCTTTAATTCTGCCTAATAGGATTAGGCAGAAGATTTGAACAAGGAGGTAAGTCCTCTGAGAATCTGAGATAATGTGAAAATAGGACCTTGAATGATATATTGTCAGTTAGGAAATAGGATTATTATTGGCTTGTTTTCAAATAAAATTTTTTGTCTTGATTTTTAGCACCTTCTTTATAGAATATCATTTTCCTGTGGGCTTTTCCAAAAGTGGAATGGGAAAAACATCTTTGATCACAGAAGTCGTTCGACTCGCCTCCAGTAAAGTTATAGATGGAAGTAAGCAAGAGACTGCCTTTCCGCTCAGACACTTTGAATCCCTAACCACTCATCTGAGTTTCATATGCTCATGGAATCTTAGAGTTAGAAAGACGTTTGAAGTGAATTTACTCCAGTATATTGTGAGGAAACCCAGAAGGGTTATGATTGTCCTGATGTAAGTCAGTAACAGCTGATATTAGAACTCAGAACTTCTAACACTTAGATCATGTACTTTCAAAATTGCTGTTTTGCTTCCCTTTTTTAAAAGCATCTTTTTAAAGAAATCATCATATACCATGTAATTACCTATTTAAAGTTAACATTCAGTCATTTTTAAGTATATTCACAGTGCTGTGCCACCATCACCACAATCTTATTTTAGAATATTTTAATCGTACCTGAAAGAAATCCCATACTCAGCACTCCCCTCTCCTCATTTTTTCCTTCAGTCCATTCTGGACATTTTTTATAAATGGAACCATACATATGTGATTTTGTGATTGACTTTTTTGACTTACCATAATATTTCTGTCAATGTGGTTTGTGTAAGTAGTACTTCATTCCTTTTTATGACTGCATAATATCCCATCTGCTGATGGGCATTTGAATTATTTCTACTTTCAAGCAATTATGAAGACTATGTAGTTAATTTCACATACATATATGCTGTCATCTACTTCAGTTATGTACTAAATCATATGGTAACTTTTAATTTTTTGTGCTAGCCTGTTTCAAACAGTTACTCCACCATTTTATGTTCTTACCAGATTCTCTGTATCTTCATCAGCACTTTTTATTTTCCATTTTTTAAAATTCTAGGCATCCTAGTGGATGTCATATGGTATCTCATTGTGATTTTGATTTGCATTTTCCTAAAAACCAGTGATATTAATCATCTTTTCATGTGTTTACTGTCTACTTGTTTATCTTTTTAGAAAAATGTTAAATCCCATTGTGCTGTTAAATATTTTTATTATTGGAAACAAAGTGTTCTTTATATATTCTGGATAGAGAACCTCATTAGAATTTTGATTTGCAAATATTTTCTCCCATTGTATGGACTGACCTTTCATATTCTATATAGTATCATTCGCAGACAGAAGTTTGAGATTCTGATGCCATCCATGTGTCTTTTTTTTCTTTTGTTGCTGGTGTTTTTTTTTTCTTTTTAAATAATTCTAATACAAAAAGTAAAAGTTAATATCATAACCATTCATGTTTCTGACACTCAAAATTATCACTACTTTTCAAACAGATTTTGAGAAAATTTTTGCCTTGATTCTTCAGTTTGATCCATAAACAGTAGTATTAATGTTCACTTTCTTCTCTGGGAGGACATGAGAAGTAAAGAAAAGGGTCCTGACTCTCCTCTACACTTCCTGTGTACCAGAGTTATAATGGATTTTTAGATTTGGTTTGGTTTTTTTAACTAGATAGCATCACTCATTCACATGGCTCAGAATTTCAAGAGCCCTTCTTTATGAACAGTTTTGTAAACTGTATTTTTCCTAAGACTTTGTACATGTTTTAGCAAACATGCTTATTTTTTTGCCCTCTTCCCATTTTTATCCAAATATTAATATATCATATACACCTTTCTGCACCTTGTTTTGATAGTATGTCATAGGAATTTTTTCATAGACATAGATAATATGTTTAGTCCCTTATTGACTATATAATACCTCACTGTATGGTTATGTCATCATTTGTAGATCAGTGTTTAAGCTATTTTCAGTCTTTTGCTAACAAAAATAGTACTTCAGTGATGAGTAATCTTGTGCCAACATTGTTTCTTGCCTGACATAAGTATAATCAGCATAAGTATCAAAAGTAAATACTTGCCCTTAAGAAGAGCACCTAATGTTCTTTAATGTTCTATTTTACTAGATTCATTATTTCACTTTCTTACCACATTAAGGAAGAATTTGGGTATTTAAAATTCTTTTCTTATGCTTACTTACTGGCTGTATGGTTTTATTATTGATAGCAACAGAAGCTGTGCTAGGAAATTCACTGATGACATTCCAGAGAGGTTTTAGGTAGAAGTGAAAGGGAGGTGAGCAGTCTCAGATATGGATTGATGCTAACTGCTTGTCTGGCATGATATGTGCTTCTACGTCTGGTTCTCCTTCTAGGGGTGAAATTCCAGCAACGATTTGTATTTCCAGTACACTTCGGTGGCCCAATGATAGAACACTGGTGGAATTCCAACCTCACTTTCCAAATTTACACAAAGAAACCCCCACAAAAAAAGGTACTTAAAGTCATTTTTGTCTTTGTCTTACCACTTACACCAAGGATTTAGAGCATACTTAAAATTATATTCTTACCTAAACTTGGATTTCAAACAACACTCATGCTTGTAATTATTATGTCTTAAAATTTTGAATTTTTGTTTGTTATAGGCCAGATATTATACTAAAGGCTCCACACAAACATACTATCAAATTTAATCATTGCAAGAACTTTGTGAATTAAGTACATTATTGTCTTCATTTTATAGATGAAGAAACTAAGGTTTAATAAAGTTAAGTAACCTGTCTAAACTCATTCAAGCTAAGAACACACAAAATGCAAGACTCATTACAAGTCTTCTGACTTAGATCCTAAATTCGTAACCTCTTTACTCTGCTTCCTACTAGGGAGAGTTGACTGGCTGGATATAGGTTATTAGCTTTAATTTGAGATTCTACTTCCTGTTTTCAGGCAGAATTGCCCATCCAGCTAATTCCAAGTTTATAAAATCCATTTGCAGCAATACAACTATGTTATAAGCAATTTTTACCTCCTTTAATAAAAGAATAATCTTTATAATCTCTGGCCTCCGCTTTGGTATGTACAACATAAGGAATGTATCTTACTTATTTTTTTCAGAGACTGAATAATACAAGTTCTTATTTGAAAATATAGCAAAATAGGGAGGGGAGTAAACCATAATTCCACAACTTTCTAACAAGGTTAAGATATTTCAGTATATGTACATTGAATTACCTAGGTTATGTCTTTTTTTCTAACTATGAAAGAATTGTGCATGATTTTATCAAAAACTTGGGAAATGTTTTTAAAAAACCAAAAAAATCACCTATCTTTTCATGAAGGAGTAACTTGTTAATATTTATGTATATCTCCTTTGCCTTCTTCCAAATAAATACAATGTTGTATATGTGTAAATTTTGACAGTAAAATTTGGTAGTAAGATAATTGTGCATGTAATTTTTATCCTGTTTTGTAAAATTTAGTATTAAGGGTTTTATTCATTTTTTTTCAAAAATACATATTTAGTCTTCCACATAATTTTACAATAACTGATGATTTACTATATATAATTTAGTGCCTCATTTTTACCACGTATTTTAACAAATATTATTTCAGACTTTCATTCTATTATAGGAATATGTTATAATTAGCTTTGAATTCCTGAGTATTGGAATCTAGCTATTAGTAACTGTTAACCTTTTAAAATTAAAAACTGTTATGCATGTTTTCGTGTAAAATTATTTATTGTTTCTTTAAAATTCCCAAAATCGAATTAGTAGACAAGAAATATGAATATTTAAACTTTTATACTTGGAGCTGAATTTACTACCTAAAAGTATGTTGTTAATTTATTTTCCTAACATCACACCTATGACAGGTTCTGTTTCTCAGTAGCCTTGATAGCATCAGGTATATTAAGCTTTGTAATTTTTTCCAGTTTTAATGGCAAAAATTTATATTTAAGTTTTACTTTTTTAATTTTTGAGAGAGAAATTGGACATACTTTATGAAGAACTAACTCCTAAAACATATAAATAGATCTCCTCCAAACCTCTTTGTGATTCATAAAGCCCTGTATAATATGTGGTCCAGAGAAAAGTAGTAACTTAAGAGAGTTGTCTCAGCCAAATAATTAAGCTATTTAATTCAAGCATTGATTCCTTTACAAGTCATATGTTGTCACTTCTGTTAGAGTCCCCTGTGACTACTCTTTAATTTAACCTAAGCCTTTTCTTTCCTTCTCTCAGCCAGAGGTGACTGGGTCTGCATCGCTGCCTTTGCGAGCTGTCATTCAGTCTGAGCTGCTTTCTTTCAGTGACCAGCTTCCAGTGCAGCAGGAAAATGGTCAGGATCCTCTTGGCCCCCTCAAGGTACCTAGATAGGCTTCAGGTAGTAGAACATTTATAGCACCCACTTTATTGACAGGTGCTGAGACTACCACTATAAACAAAATTAGGATCTCTGCTCTTGCAGTTCATATTAGAATAGGGCAACAGATGTGCTTTGAAGGAAGTACATGGTATGGTGTGATAATACCTGCGAGGATGTTGAAGATGGGGATTAGAGAGACCACCTCTAAGGAGGTGATATTTAAGGTAGGATTTGAATAATGAGAAGGGCCCACCAAATGAAAAATAGCATAAGAAAGATTATTTCCAGACAATAACAATAACACACTAAGGCCTTAAAACCAGGGTCAGCTCGGATAGAACATTTCCACCAGTTAATGAGCCAAGAGGAGAATGATTAAAAGTAAGATTGGACAAGCAGTCAGGAGCATATCATTCAGAACTTTGTAGATGAGTGTAAAGGGTATAAATTTTATCCTAAGAGCCAGGTAAGGACATGAAATCTGGGATTAATACTTGATTTGCATTTTTAAAAGATTGCTTTGTAGAGAGTAGATTTGAGGAGGAAAGAGGCAGAAACTAGACTGTTGCTTTAGTCCAGAAAAGAGACAACTTACCCTAAAGTAGTAGCAAGAAAAGAAGTAACTGAGTTTAAGAATTTGGCTGTATAATTCATTGCTTCTTCCTCATATCCAAAAGCATCAGTATGTGGCAGAATGTGAATGTGTGGCTTTAGTATAGCTTTGACTGGTCTTGGTGAGCTTTTGGAGTTATCACAGCCATGTATATCACACTGCCTTAACTCCCCTTTGCCCAAAGAATAAAAATATAGGGCTCACCATACCACCACAGCCTCTCTTGTAGCTTCCTATCGACAGCCAATCAAACAGTATTAACAGTTGTTAAGCTACCTGTTGCTTCATGCCACTGTGACTTTGTACTTGATTTTCAGGCTACTCCCTGTTCTTGAAAGCACTCTTTCTTTACTCTCTCCCCTCTTAGTCTCTTGGTAATAAATACCATTTAGCTTTAAAGGCTTGCAAAGAAAATATCACATTACTCTTTGCTATCAATGTTTTTTGTTTGCTTTGCTTGCCTAGATCATTCTGGGCTGCAAGATTTCAAATCAGAAAGGAGCAATACAATACAATACAGTACAATAAGTACTACTGTAGGTAGATTGTTGTCTGTATTCAGTAAAGCAAAGAAACTTTGCTGAGTGCTTTAAATAAAAGTAATTTATCCTTAGTAATTCAGTCTCATTAACAGTGACTGTTGTCATTCTTCATCACATAATCTTGAATCCTTTTTAACTTTCTACTTTCTAATATCTTTTAAAAAATAATTTCAAGCTTAAAGAAAATTTACAAAAGTAGGACAAAGACTATTGTGATTGCACACGGGTGATTTGGTGATGGGAAGCCCACGGGGATTACAACTGAGATGGGAAAAGGCACAAAATGATGTAGAAATAAACTATTATATTATTAAAAAAAAAAAGAACAAAGAATTCACTTAATTTTCACCTGGACTCACCAATATTAACATTTGTCACATTTGTTTTATAATTCTGTCAGCCTCTTCCCTCTGTCTTCTTTCTTTCTATCTCACCCTGTACATTCACTCAAAACACTCACACACACACACATACACACACTTTTTCTGAACATATTAGAGAATATGTCACAGATATCATGCCTCTTTCTCCCTAAATTTTTATGTGTCTTCCATAGGTTTTAACATTGTATGTTATAAAAATCAATTTAATATCGATACTATCTTTATTTATAATGCATAATCAGATTTCACTAATTGTGCCCAATTTCACCTATCCCCAGAGCCCTCAGGATAGAGTCAAATACTTAGTTTGGACTCTAGGATCCTTTGAGAACTATTTCTACTTCTCTCATCTCAACTCCTGTCACTCTTCCCTTCACATGACATAACCCACCTGTGCTCCACTATTTAGAGTTTCCTGAATATCCTCTCTCCCTACCTCTGTGCTTTTACATGTACTCTTCTGCTGCCTTAGCAGCATGACTCCTTCATGACTCCTGTGAGGCAGAGATTTTTGCACTAGTTAGTTCTTGCTTCACTTTAAGAAACCGTTATTTCATCCTAAATGCTCTCTCCCAAATTCCCGTTTGTAGGTTAGAATGTTGTTAGTTTTATCCTTTTGGGTTTTGATGAACAGAAATGTGTTCAAGTTACTTTATATGATTGGAGTTTCTTAAATGGATACAAAAGTAACCCTGTTCCACTTCTCTCTGCCCTTCTGATAACTTATTGTCATCATGCTTCTATCAATAGTAGCCTTTATATCAGTTTTTTGCAGTTCAAGATTATCACACTTTTAATTGTCACCCCTCGAATCTCCTTCAGTTTAAAATAGTTCTGCAGCCCTTCCTTGTCTCCCAGTATGCTGCTATTTTTGAAACATAAAGCCAGATCTTTTGTAGAATGTCCTCTGTGGGATTTTCCTGAGTATTCATCAAGTCCCATAGATTACTAAAAGCTTCATTATTTCAGGATAAATCTCCTTACCTTTACTCTACTGACTCATTACTATAGTGTATGTAAGGTGGTGATTTTCTCACTCCTCCATGCTCCATGCTCCATGCATTTATTAACTGGCATTCTACTGCCCCTTCTCCCATATTTATATTGGTACAGACTTTAGATTCTCACATTATTCAATAAGATTGTAATCTGTTACTGTTAATTACTCATTTTGTTGCTGAAATTGTCTTAAATTTGGGCAGTGGGAACCCCTCCAACTAGAGTCTGTGCTTTCAATATGTCTCCATCCTTTTCTGAGCATTTCCTTATTTTTCAGCACAATATGGCATTCATTCCAGGTTCACCTTGTATTATTGATAAATTATCTGCTTAGTTTTTCTTAATCCTGGTAAGGTAATGTACAAGCAGTCTATTAGTGCTTTTATTATTATGGTATCTGAGGATGATTTAATTTATTTCCTAACTCTGATACTACTCTTAGCTGCAAAATTCTGATTCTGATTCTAGAAGACATTCTTACTAGCCATCTTCCTTTGTGTTTTATAGGTAACTGTGGAGCTTATTCTGGATAACAAAGATTTCAATGGCATCAATTCTAACTTAAGTAGTAACACCAGACATACCCCACTTTCTGCCCTATCAGAACCTAGCCAGCGTGTTACCTGTATCAAACATCCACAGACACGAAATCAAATTAATGAAGAAACTGTAAAGAAAGCAGAGAATTTAGTGTTCCCCAACCCAAAGTCATCAAGCCCTGCTCTGCCAGACCCTTTACCCTTCATGGATGTGCCAGCTTCCCACAATTTAATAAATCACACAACTGGGTCAACAAAAGAAAGTACTTTGCTCTTGCATGTGCTATTGATGGTACCAGATGGGAAAGATTTCATTACTGGAAAGTCTGAGAAACAACCACCATGCAATATCTATTTTAATTGCAAACTCTTCAGCACTGAGGAAGTAACAAGATCTGTCATTGCCTGGGGCACAACACAACCAGTATTTAACTTTTCTCAGGTAACTTTTTAAATGTCTTAACTGTTTCTGTTTCTATTTGGGATATATGGGGGTGGGAGGCGATATATTTCCCAAATCATAATTTCATTGTGAAAGAAATCTAAAATGTTCACACAGAGAGAAGGCTTTGTAATTATCTTGTGTATAGAATATAGATGAGTAGAAGATCTGCCAACAGTTTATGTTTTTTTGTGTGCATTTCCTTCTGTCCTGTCTCAGTTGGTATGATTTCCCACTCTTTCTCACCTGAGTTCCAAGTTCTGTTCCTTTTTGCTTCTTCTAGGACCTTCATCTCCCCCGCCTCCTTCCTTTTCTGCATCTCCAGTCTTTACTTTTTACTTTTCTCTCATTTATTCCTTTGCTTATTTTAATACTCATCATATGTGACTTTTCTATCAAAGTTGATGCTATTGTTTAAATGGTTTTTTGTCTTGATTTTTGTGACTCACTTGTCATTTTCCTCCTGACTTAACAACTGTTCTGTTCTGGCCATTGACCACAAAAGGCGAGAAAAGAGTGGTGGCCTTAGTACTTTTCCCTTTCTCTTGCTTTTAAGTATTGGTTCTCCTCGTGATTTCTGTATCCTCAGCACTCTTCCAAGCCATCCCTCTTTTCTGTCTACTCCCATAGCTTCAGCTATCATTTTTATAAAGATAATTACTAAATCACACTTACATAGACCGCACATTTCCCTCAAGTTTCAGATCTCTCTATCTCTGCCTGTTTATTGTCACCACCTAGATGACTCAGAAGCATATTACACTTGGCCCCCTAACACAATGCCTGGGATATTACACATACACAATAAAAATGTATAACTAAAAGAAGGAAACCAAATTTGTTAAAATCTGAATTTATTATTCCTTCCAAATCTTTTCTTCCTCCTCCTGTCCACCCTAAGTTATAATTACTTAGAAATCCAAACAGAACCTGAAAGCTGTCCTTGACTCTTTTCTTACATAATGATTTACCAAGTGCAATAGATGCTGGAAACGGAATTATCTCTAGAATGTATCCTCTTACCTCCAACCCTCTGACACCGCTTTTATTCAGCCCTTCCTCTCATTTTAATAACCTTCAGACTGGTCTTCCTGTTTCCAGTCTTTACCTGTTCAGGTAAAGACTTTGCTCTGTGCAACAAGAATAATCTTCCCAAAATACTAACCTGGTTATTTTATCCCCTTACTAAACATTTCTGTGAGGCATTAAAACCTTCAATATGGAGTTCATATGCTTAGTTTGAACTCTAGGATCCTTTGAGAACTCATTGTATTTCTCGTATCTCAAATCCTGTCACATTTTCCTTCACACAACATAATCCAGCTGTACTCCGCCACTTAAGAGTTTCCTGAATATCCTCTCTTCCTACCTCTATACCTTTACATGTGCTCTTCTGCTGCCTTGGCTTTCTCTCAGCCTTCATGAATGACTCCTGTGAGGCAGAGATTTTTTGCACTAGTTAGCTCTTGCTTAACTTTAAGAAACAGTCACTTCATCTTAGAAGCTCTCTCCAAAATTTCCCTACTTGCATGTTAGAATGTTGTGTTAATTTTATCCTTTTGGGTTTTGATGAGCAGAAATGTGTTCAGGTTACTTTTTATGATTGAAGTTTCTTCAATGGGAATCCTCTTCCTATTCTCTGCTTCTCTGATACCTTGTAGTCGTCATGGCGTCAATCATTTCTAGTGTCACTCTTTTTGCCTCTCACATTTCTCTGGGCTTCACCGGTGGGTTTTACCTTTTACCTCCCCTTTACTGTTGCACTTGTATTAGTGCTTGGGTTCCTTGATTTTGCTGCTAATAGACAGAGCTGATCTTGGTTCTAGATCTCTAGTTGTCTTTGTGACTTTTTCCTCTTCCATCTGGTTGGCCAATTCTGGAGTAATTTTATCTGGAAATCCAGATAAATACTTGACTTTGCTATTTACCATGTCATTTATTGGGCAGAGCTTTTCACACTAGGCCATACCACCCAACTAGTGGGCTGGATGCGCTTTGACTAGGTGCTCTCTTGTCTGGTGAGTAGCCATCTTTGCTTCAAAAAATATCTATCTCAACAAGGGGTTTGCAAATGAGATACACTGTCCTAGAAAGGGTCAGATGAGCTTAGCAGACACCCTCATTAGCATGTCTTTAACCTTCTCTTTGTCCCCAAAGCCCCATCTAGGTGAGCTTTGTCATCAAAGAACTCATACCACTTTATATTTGGTCCTGTATGTCAGTCTCTAATGCAACCTGTTGTTTCGGACTGAAGGTAGTGGGTTTTATTTTAATACCTTCAGCTTCTAGAATTGTACATAACACGCTATATTCTTATAGAAAATGTTTGTTGATTAAAAGTTAATCCTTGTGTCAGGTGTCTTGTTATTCCTCTCCTTAGGTGATTCCTGTTTCTCTCTCTTCCAAATACCTGGAAAGGCTTAAGAACAATGTGATGATAATTGAAACGTGGAACAAGGTGCGGAGCCCAGGACAGGACAAGCTGCTCGGGCTGGTGAAACTCCCTCTCCATCAGTTTTACATGTCATTCAAGTAAATGATCTTTTGGAGTATTCTTTATTTTACATATTTACTTTGTATGGACTGAAGAGGAATTCTTTGACTTGCAAACATGCTTCACTCAGTAATTCCTTGGAGAATATTTCTGTTTTACCACAGTTGCTATTCTTTCCCCTACAGTAAAACAGCCTTAAAAATACTGCTTACCGGGCCCTCCCTGGTTGCACAATGGGTTAGGACACAGCACTGCAAGCTGGCGACAGCCACTTCAGTGCGAGTTTGATCCCCTGCCCCAGAGGTGACCCACATGGTGCAGCAGACCTCTCCTGACCCTCCCGCTGCTCCCCTCAGCAGTATACCTTGTCAATCAGCCTGTTCTGCTCCCCACTCTGTCTCTGGTGAAGCCTCTCACCGCCCCTGCACCTCTGGCCTGTACCCCAGTTCTGTATGAATAAATAAATCTTAAAAAAAAATACTGCTTACCATGTTTGGTAAGAACCTTACATACATCAAGTCTTTTAATTCTCAGAACTCAGGTAACTTATTTTTCTCTATTTTAAGGATTATCATTTATCAGAGCACTAGGAAGTTAGATAGCCCATCACATTCATTGAAGTAGTAGGATCAGTGTTAAAACTTAGAGAGTCTAGGCCCTCCCTGGTGGCGCAGCGGGTTAAAAGCACAGCACTGAGAATCTGAAGCCACTTCCGCATGAGTTCGATTCCCGCCTGCCGCCTGCCTCGGAGGAGACCACATGGCGAGCCAGA